CATGAGCCAATGTAAACCTTTCCTCTTCTGAGTTGTTCTTGCAGGATATTCTGGTCACAGTGGTGAAAAGCTGACTATCACACGGGTCACCCCACCACCCTCCCTGAGCTCAAGAGCTGTRTCTGCTCTTGCCGTCCTGCCCCTGGCACCTTGGACAGTGTCTGGCCCCAAACCTTTTTGGAACACATGAATGACTCGGTGTCTTCATATACCATGACCCTGAGCAAAAGTTCTTCAAGAAGTGCCTGTGTGTAGTTGTCATGGAGTAAATGTCAATAGTAACAGTGGACAAGTAGCTGTTGCTTAGGAAAGGCCAACACACAAGGGACCAGAGGAGAGGTGGCCGTCCACACCGTACCCAAAGCCAAGCAATCCACTCAGAAGAGGAGTCCAATCGGTTAGAAACCCCAACGTCCACTTTAGCATCTAAGGAAAATGCCCAAAAGGTCAGTGGCCCTTGGCTTTCTTTTATTGGATTCATTTACATTTGCAAATATATGTCCAACTAGTTGATGTCAATAGCTTGGTAGCCGAGATACTGAAAGTTTGGTGCCTATGATCCACCCAAATCCAGGTTTAAATTCAATTGGAAAAACAAAGAGAACTTGCAGCTTTGACGATAGACTGAAAAGAGCCTGCGATTTCACARATATCTTTGTCTTCAGAGAAACATTTGTGAATCAACTGGGGTAATGATCTTAACTGKACTGCATATCCTTCCACATTACCCATGGCAGAGAGAAATCGTTTCACATGGTTCAAATGTGTAAACTTAGATCAAATAAATGGAAAATATTATTTTATCCTTCCAGAGTTACTTTAATGAAAGCACATAGAAACTGTTTTTGCATAGTTACATACAGAAACTATTGTTTCATACCTTGCTTTCCCCGCTAAGTAATGTATCTCAAGAACTTCTGCATCACTTTAACGTTCTCATTCTTTCTGCATAGTATACGACTTGACAGATGAACATATTTTATTTAACTAGTCTCATATTGTTAGACATTTGTTTCCARTCTTGTATCAAAATACCAAAATGAATCATCTTGAATGTGTCATTTTTTTTCATGGATGCACATAGATCAGTAGGACATGTTTCCCAAAGGAGAATTGCTGGGCTAACGGTCAATGCATTGGTGACTCTGAGAGATGTTGCCAGTTTGCCCTGCCCTGGTGTTTATTCTCCATGTATGAATTCAGCTTTCCCACAAGAACCCTGACAGACTGTGTTACCAAACCTTTGGTTTTCTTGTCAATCTGATAGGTTAGAAATGGTCATTTTAATTTGTTTCTCTTATGAACTATTCCTTTTTTAATGGAAAATACTTTTTATCAGGTAATTCCATCTCCTTAGTGGAATTACAACTTTAGTTCCCAAAAATGTTTGGGGCATCTGAAAATTAAGTGCTCTAGACCGTGCTAGACAAGAGGTAGTGTGTTCACCTGCTTTTTGTCACTGTGACCAAAATACCTGACAAGAACAACTTATAGGGAAGAAAAGCTTATTTGGGGCTCACCGTTTCAGAGGTTCAGTCCACGGTTGGCTGACTCCACTGCTCTGAGGCTGAGGTGAGGCACATGTCATGGCAGAAGGGATGCTGCTCAGCTCAAGGTAGCCCAGAAATAGAGCAAGAAGAGCTGGTGATAAAATATACAATCCCCAAGGCACCCCATCCCCATGACCCACTTCCTCCAGCCACACCCCACCTGCCTATAGTTACCACCCAGAAGTTCATTCAAATTATTAATCCATCAAATGGATTAATCTACCAATGAGGTTATGTCTTTTATAATATAATCATTTCACCACCTGCATGAACACAGAAGCCTTTGGGGTATGCTCCATATCCAAACCATAACAGGTGGGAGGTGTGGGAATAAACTGTAGAGTGCTGGCTTCTCAAGGGCCCCAGACAATTGAAGAGGCAGAAAAATCAATCACAGCAGTAGAAAATAACAGGCCATGTTACAAGTGCAGGCTGTGAAAAGTAAAAGATGGTTTTTTGTTCTTCCCATGAAGGAGCTAACAATAGAGGTTCAGAGGTTTTCTAAAATCAAAAGGAGCTCACCATAACATTAAGAGTCCTCGGCATCACAGAGCCCAGTTCCCAGCATGTACTGATATAGAACATCAAATCCCATCAATATGCCGAAATAAAATGCACCAATAAAAAATRAGGAAATAAAAAAAAATCCAGTTTCCTAATTTTACAAGTGAGAAAAGTGAAGCCCCTTAAAGGTAATGGTGCCTCAGCTTCTCAATGTCAAAACCAGACCTTGAACCTGAAAGTCCCTCCAGAGGAAATGTCAAAGCKATGACCAATTTCTATTGTTCTTGTTGGCTTTCTTGAAAAGTATGCCAATCACAGGGAATGAGCATCAAACTTTGATTTGCTGTCTTTAAAGGACCAAGATTCATCTCCCTCTTCCTACCTCCAACAATCTGGACCCTTTTCCAATCTCCTCTTTGTTCTAGTTGTTGTTTTGTTTCCAGGGATTGAACCTAGGGGTGCTTAACCACTGAGCCCCATCCCCAGCCCTTTTTGTATTTTATTTAGAGACAGGGTCTCCCTGAGTTGCTTAGGGCCTCACTAAGTTGCTGAGGCTGGCTTTGAACTCATGATCCTCTTGCCTCAGCCTCCTGAGCCGCTGGGATTGCAGACAGGTGCCTCTGTGCCCGGCTTCCGATCCACCTCTGATTAGCAGGTGAAATAATTTCCCAAGTGCAAACCTGACCCTGTACTTCAATGCCCTTGAGATAATAACCACAGACTCCAAAGCTCAGCCTGCTCCCTGGCCCTGGCTCCTGACTTCATCTTCCACTGCTTTCTCCAAGTTCCAGCCACACCGTGTTTCCTTGGGTTCTTCCACCAAGCCCCACTTTCTCCCACCTTAACGCTTTAGCACACACTGTTCCTTCTGCAGGAAACCCTCTTGCTCCTCCCTCACCTGATTCTAAGGAATCAGGCAAAATGCCCCACCCTGCCTGCAGAYGAGGCGCGCCCTCTCTGCTCTCTGTGGGTGCTTTTCCATGATTCTTTATCAAGTTACCGCTTTAATATCTGTCTTCTCCAGTGGACTTGAAGACCCAAAGGAATAGGTCTCTATCATGACCCAATATATTCCCATGGCCCAGGATTGTTCCTAGTTAGGTAGACTAACCAGTCAGAACAAAGAAACTCCAAAGTCTTTGTATTTTGTAGAGCAAGAAGCTATTTTTTCTATTTTATATGACAGTTCAGAGTGGGAGTTCCAGACATGTGGCCCCAAGGAATGGAGCCTGCTGTCTATGGACTGAGGCCTCAGAAACCGTGAGTCCCAAATAATTTTCCTCCTCTAAAATTGTTCTTATCAGGTCTCTGATTCACAGTAACAACAACAACAACAACAAAAAAAAAACCTGACTACAGCAGAAGGAGTTTTCTTCTCTTTGGCCCCAGTCACATGGCCACTTAACTCTGAGGAAGACAGGGATGTGTGGCTGGGGTACGGCCACGGTCAAGCACTTCTAGATGCCATGCAGGAGAACAAAGGATTCGGGTCGACAGACAGCTGCGGCCCTAGAATACTCGGTGAATATCCATTGAAAAGCAGGGATTTTCYCATCGTTGTATTGCTTTGCTTTAGATGCTCATATCAATATCCCCAAGTCCCAGAATCATGACGTTTCTTTCATTTTGTTGGCAGCATTTCAATATCCAAGCAACTGGCTTCCATTAAAGGTAAGGTGTGGGGTGACTGATGTGTGGGTTTCCCCTCTACCCTGATGGCATGCCCAGAGCGAGTTAGAACAGTAGCCATGCARGAATACCAGAGATGGAAGGAACCTGTAGATACATCACCGAACATTCATGAAGGTTTTCTGAAAGGTTTGGGACAGGAATGATTTTCCCCAAGTGAGACAAACCATTAAAGGCAAAGCTAAGACTAGACCATGGCTCCCTAATGGATCCCCGTTCTTCCCATGGTATCCAAACGCYTCCCCAGGGCRGCATCCTCAGGATATTCAGAGGAGAACTCGGAGCATCTGACTTACAAACACTCAGAGGAACTCAGGATGTGACCGACTCTCAGCTACCTGTTCATTGAGTGACAACCGTGTGGCCAACTCCCAAAGTGGAACTATTTGCCCTTGAAATTCAATTGCATAGGTAAGGTGTCTCATGGATAAATAGCAACAGAAAAGAAAACACTCACACACTTGGATCATGCTCATCCCGAAATGTGTGGCTGAACATGTTTACAGAGGAAGAAGCACAGCTGGATGTTTCTCCTTTGCAGCTGGTTTTCTTCCTAGACGGCTGGCCACTCTCTCCAGAAGAGAGCCTTGAGGTTTTTATTTAAACAAATCTCCCCCTTGATGTAAATATTGTTTACACTATCATAACACAACAGACTCATGGTTTCTATTTCTAAAGGGTACACAATTCCAGCAGATTTTTTCTTTTTAATTTGGTACCAGGGATTGAGTCCAGGGGTGCTCAACCACTGAGCCACATCCCCAGCCCTTTTGTAATTTTTTTGTTAATTTTGTTTAGAGACAGGGTCTCACTGAGTTGCTTAGGACCTCCTTAAAGTTACTGAGGCTGGCTTTGAACTTTCAATCCTCCTGCCTCAGCCTCCCGAGCTGCTGAATCACAGGTGTGTGCCACCACATCTATCCTCCAGGCTCTTTTGAGAATTGTTCCAGCAGATTTTTAAAGACAACTTTTCCCCCTGGAAGGTTGAAAGGGGATTATAACTATTTAAACCCCACTAACCTCTCCCCTGGCCCCTAGCCACACACACACACACCATTCCTAGCCCCAGACTCCTTAAAAAAACCACATGTAATCTCATGCCTTAACAAACCACAGGGTAAACACAACTCAGCTTCCTAGAATGTGTTTTTATTCAATAGTATGTCATTTTAAGTGTTATTCACTGAAATCAAACATGCACAGATCATGGAATTGAGCGCTCATTCTCTTGGCTTATGCCCTGGCCTGCCTGAGTATTTGGGGTGTAGGGTGAGTAGCTATATATATATATATATATATACCTCCAATGCCCAGGGCAGATTTGGAGTGAAAAGTTTGGGAAGCATCAGAGTTGTAGGGAAACTTTCGGCCTCCAGAGTAGAGAATAAGGGCATTCCTAGCTGTCCATTCTGCCATAGGCTACCTCCATGAGCTTTGGCAAATGGCTTCTCTGCTATGGATCTTCCATTTACTCACTTGCAAAAGTAACTGACATTAGGAAAAGATCTCAACTGAGGTGATTCTACAGCTTGTCGCGTCAGGAGTGGTGCTTCTCTGACACTAAAGTGTTAGGATCTGACTCARGCAGGATGTTTAGTGTCCTGTGTTCCAGCTCAGGGGAGGAGGGAGAGGCAGAGGATGGTTCTGAGGTTCAAGTCAGCTCAGCTTAACACGTGTACACAACACCCAGGGCCTGGGAACAGATGCAGAGATAATACAGATGAGGTCACTGCCTTCAGGGACCACACAGTCTAGGGCTGCCATGTTCAGTATGGCAGCCACAAGCCACATGGATCTGCTGAGCACTGGAAAGGCGATTACTTTGGATTCAGATGTGGAATTAAGAGAATTAGTACAAAAAAAAAATTGTAGGAAAAAACTTATAAAATCTCTCAATGTATTATATTGATGACCTGTTGAATTTATGATATTTCACATATCAAGCAAAATAAAATGCATTATTAGCCAGTTGCAGAGACATGTGCACATAATTCCAGAAGCTTGGGAGGCTGAGGTAGGAGGATCTTAAGTTTGAGGTCAGCCTCGGCAACTTAGCAAAACCCTAACCTAAGCAACTTAGCAAGATCCTGTGTCGAAATAAAAAATGAAAAGGGCTGGTATGTGGCTCAGTTGTTAAGCACCCCTGGGTTCAATCCCTGGTACCCCAAAATATGTATATAAATAGTAAAAGTATGTTATCTGATTCTTTTWAGTTCTTTTAATGTGGCTAACAGAAAACTTAAAATATGATTATGACTCATATTATATATCTTTTGGGCAGCATAGATCTAGAGGATAATTAAAATGGATAAACACTCCACATCTTATACAACCCCAAGAACAGAATCCTAATTAGAATAAATTATACTCCATGTATGTATGTCAAAATATACTCTACTGTCCTGAATATCTAAAAAGAACAAATAAAAACATTTTTAAAAGAAAATAGACTGACAAACAGCATTAGGGTTACAGAGAGGTTATGTTTAGGGACCTATAGAAGCATAAAGACGGGATATGTCACCCTATTTGGGGATTTGGTAAAGAGCCCTGCAGAATATGCCCCCCCCAAAAAATAAACAAACCCTAAAGGCAGAGTACACTGGGGTGAGGAACCAGATAAGCTGTGTGACTCTGGGTGATCTACTTAATCTCTCTGTGCCTCCATTTTCTCATTTATAAAGTGTGGATGATACCAGGACTCTACCCTGTAGGACTCACATAAGAATCCATCAGTGAAATGACAGACATCCATCCCAGAGAGCAGTGACTGGTGTGGAGAGTCTGGGCTCCAAAATCATTCATTACTATTGTCCACCAGAACATGAGCTCCCCAAAGTCAGGGATTACTCAGATGCTGTTCATTGTTCTACACCCAGAACTAGCACAGGGTTCGGCAGCAAATACTTACTGATACATACTTGTGGGAGGGTTAGGGTTTTCAGRGAACCACACACAGTCCAATAGTATCAAAGTATAAAACATGCATGAGGGAAATAGCAGAAGAGGGTCACGTCAAGTAACCCAGCCTAGGAGCCTCCCTGCTGTCCCCAATCCAGAATCAAGGCATCCAATGAAAGTTACCAGCAGAGCCGGGCACCTCGGAGGACACCTCTAATCCCAGCAGTTTGGGAGGCTGAGACAGGAGGATCACGAGTTCAAAGCCAGCCTCAGCCATTTATTGAGGCCCTAAGCAACTCAGTGAGACCCTGTCTCTAAATAAATTACAAAATCGGGCTGGGGATGGGGCTCAGTGGTTGAGTATCCGATTTCAATTCCCGGTACCCCTTCCCCCCAAAAAAGACAGATGCCAGCAGAGAAATTGCAATCCCTTACGCTTCTAATTGCACTCAGACCTTTGCAATATGCCTTCACACACCAGTTCACAAGTCTACACATCAGAGAGCGAAAAAGTCTGGAGGCAACCTGCTGGGTTTATTAAAGAACCCTAAAAACAGGAAACTAAAACGCTTTGCAAAACATCATCAGGGTGAGTAGGACAGCCAGGGCTCTTGGTTATTTTTTATTTTAAATATTTCCTACTTCTGTTTTTACCATGAACATACGCTAGTTTATGGGGTGGTGGGGAATGCATGCTATCTTTCCAAAGAGATGTAGGAAAAGGATGAGTTGGGGAGTCCAGACGGAGTCCCGATGCTGAGCGCAGCTACACTTGAACTTGACCGGAGGGCTGGAAAAACGGCGCCTTCCATGACCCCTGGACTTGCAAACAGATGTTCTAAAGTGGCTGATRGTTCCATGAGCCTAGAAGCCAGAAAGACCTTCAAGGGCTGTGTSTATCACTTCTCAGCAATGTGAACTCACGATGCTCAAGATTAACCTYCCATTTCCAGGATTCTAATATGTGAAATCGAGGCACAAATACTACCCACCTCTGTGGGGGGTTTTGAAGCATTAAATAAGATTATGTTTAAAGGCCYCCAACACGAAGTAAACAAGGAAGGTCCCTATCCTGCTTTGCAAACTCAACTCTCAGCATAAAGATCCACTGCTTTGGGGCCAGGGGCATTGCTCAGTGGTAGAGCACCTGCCTAGCATGTGAGAGGCCCTGAGCAAACCCCAGACCATCAAAATGAAAAAAGAAGAAAAGAAAATCCCACTGCCAGTGACTACTGCCTCCAAGAAAATCCTCAGACCCAGGAGAGCATCCCATCCTAAAGCCCGGCAGAGTTATCCTGGATTATTAACTTGTAAATCAACTGGTCCAAACTACAGAACAAGTATTTACCTCCTAAAGAATTCGTATGTTTCCTCCATTCTTCAGTTTCTTTCTTTCTTTTTTTTTTTTTTTTTTTTTGGTACTGGGGATTGAACCCAGGGACACTTAACCACTGAGCCACATCCCCAGCCCTTTATTATATTTTAAGACAGGGCCTCCCGAAGTTGCTGAGGCTGGCCTTGAACTTGAAATCCTCCTGCCTCAGCCTCCCAAGCCACTGGGATGACAGACGTGCACCACCCCACCCGGCTTCCTTCACCTTTCATTGAAAACTTATGTGCTTAAAACTCTTCCCTGCTTCTCTTCCCACTTTGAAGAAAACCTTGATTGCTTCACACAGCCTATCTAGGCCCTGCCCAATCGAGCCCTCGCCTGCCTGTCCCAGGCAAACACCGTTCCTGCTGCTAGACTCCAGAAACAACCGTCTTCCCTCAGCTCTTGCACTGCCGACCTTCTGACACTTCTGACACAAGCCTTCACCTGTGAAGCTCCCTGAGTCGAAACACTCAGCAAAGCCCCGACCCCACCTTGACCCCCACACACCTCTGACATGGCGGCTCCTTCTYGTTCTCTAAGTCTCCCTATTAATCTACTCATATGGGCTTTCCAGATCATCTATCTATCTCAGTAGTTTTCTTCCCAGACCCAAGTTATAATTGTGTTTCTGTCTTTTGATTTCGTTAGTCTCATACATCACAAGTTGCAAATATATATATATATATATATACATGCTAGATACATACGTGGAAACATAAGTAAAGAACAGATACATATGAACACACATACACATCCTCTCGATCTTTATTGATTTGCCCACTATGATCATAAGACACACRGGAACAGAGACCACATCTGCTTTGGGACCTCACGTGCTGAGTACTTGACCGGAGGACCAAGCACACAGCAATGTGACAGAAGCCACATTATTCCTATGACACATCGTTCTTTGAACCTCTGCTTGTGRCCCATGACCTTTGCTGAAAGCTATGAGACTCTGTGTTTCTTTACCTTTTTCTGATTCATTCAGTAGCATTTATTAGCARGTACTTGTGCTATTCACTGGGGATACGGGATAGGACCCTTAGCCACGTGGAGATTTGCTTTCTATTTGTGGAGGTTAAACATTTAACCGCTATAAWGTGTTCTGTGCAGATTCTATAGGAGTGGATACAAAGGTGACTTTAAAAGCTCAGAGTCTGGAGCTGTTTTTATGGTACTTGGTGCATTTTCCCATGTTCACTTTGCTACTCACTAGGAAGGAATAAATTAGCGCTGCCCTGTCAAGGAGGTCAAGCCACACCAACCAGCTGGGAGATCACCTTGACCAGGGGCAAGACCTCTGATCCTCCTTTATATCAAAGAACTTGTCCTGGAAGTCCTTCTCCTTTATTGTATTTAAAGGGATGCTGTGCCTGACACAGAATAGAAATTCCACAAGAATGGGATTCTGTTTTATTAAGGGAGATATCCTTAACCTCAAAGGCTGAGCCTGTTATGGTTGGATGTAAGGTGTCCCCCAAAAGCTCACGTGTGAGACGGTGCAGGAAGGTCCAGAGGAGACATGACTGGGTTGTGAGAGCCTTAACCCAACCAGTGAATGAACCCCTGATGGGATTAACTGGGTGGTGGCTRGAGRCAGGTGGRTGTRGCTGGARGAGGGGGCATTGGGGGCRTGGCTTTGGGGTYTCTATTTGTCTCTGGAGAGTGGAGTCTCTCTCTGCTTCCTGATCACCMTGTGAGCTGCTTCCCTCCACCACACTCTTCCTCCATGATGTCCTGCCTCCCCTGGAGCCCTGAGGAGTGGAGCCTGAGACCTCTAAAATTCTGAGCCTCCGAATCAACTTTTCCTCCTCTACAATTGTTCTGCTCAGGTCTCTCATTCACAGCAGCGAGAAAGCTTCCTAAAACAGAGCCCAACACATACTAGGTGTTCCATAAATGTATGTTAAGTAACTGAGTGAAATTACAACTCAGAAAGAGCAAGGCGTAGAGAGGTGAGGTGTTTTTCCAAGGTTACGGAGAGAGCAGGTGTTAAGTATCATACTAATTCTACCAATTCTAAATGCTACTAAGGGAAATTTTGTTCTGCACTGTTTAAAGATCCAGGATCAGGAACCTCTGTATCCAGCTCCCAGCTGGGGGCAAAGGACCAGGGATTGTGTCTTTGATGTACACCTCCCAAACCTGTTGCCCACTGTTTCCTTGGAAGATACAAATAGCCCCCTGTTTGGGGAAAGGTCATTTCCAAGATAGCCGACCTCAATGCACATGTCTTTCCTCACAGCCTTAAAGAAGGGTTCAGATCTGGAAAAAGCCATTGCTACTGCCGCTTTGATTTTCCGAAACTCTTCTGACCCTGACGGCAAACTTGGAAAAGCTACTGCCAAAAATCTGCTGCAAACTCAATTTAGGAATTTCACAGAGGTAAGAGAATTTTCCTGCATGAATAAATGAATAAATAGGGGCCACATCTTAACAGCTGGCCCCAAGAGCCACCAACTCCCAGCRAGAGGCCCCACCAAGTTGTTGCAATCAGCAGATGTTTATTGAGCACCTACTGCATGCCAGGCAGTGAGCGGGGGCACAGAAGTTCAGGCAATAAACAAGCAAATGATCCAGCAGAGTAAAGAAATATCCTGAAAYGTCTTTAGGAATGTTCACAAGACATGTAGGAGCAGAGCAGGGAGTGAGAGTAAAACTGTGTTGGGGCGAGAGGTCAAAGGCAGGTTCCCGGAACACCAAGGTATAGCTAAGGTCTGAAGAGCSAACAGGAATTAGCCAGGCAAGGAGTGGGAAGGCTGGCTTTCCAAGCAGAGGGGMTGCACATGCAAAGTCCCCGGGGCAGATCAGGAACCTGGAAGGTGAGTGAGCAATTGGAAAGGAGGGGGGGGGGGAAGTAGGAAGCGGTGGATGATAAGACTGGAGAGGTCAGAAGTCAAATCTTATTCATCTCACACAGCCTAAGAGCTGGAGGAAACTGGAAATGGTTTTCCAAGTCTAAGAAATCACAGGAGCTGGGGGGCAGTTGAGGGAGGGGACATCTGGAAGACAGAACGAATGGGATCTGAAAGTTGATTGGCTGTGAGAGTTGACTGACAGCCCAGTTTCTGAGTTAGAGAAGAAGTCAATGCCGGATCTGTTCCCAGAAAAGAGAAAGACGCAGAATTGAGGTGGGAGGGGTTATCTATCTGGGAGGAWGTAAAGGAAGTCTTTCCCTTAGAATATGTCACAGACGTCCATGAAAGTTTCAAGTGAGAAAACCACAGGATGCATGAGTTGAGAGGGAAGAATAGAGAGCTGCATTTGAAATGCAGAAGTGAGAGTTGGGCCAGGCCTGGYGGGGCACACCTGTTATCCCAGAGGCTCGGGAGACTGAGGCAGGAGGATCGTGAGTTAGAGGCCAGCCTCAGCAATTTAGTGAGACCTTGTCTCAAAAAAAAAAAAAAAGTGTGTGTGGGGGGGTTTGGAGATGTTGCTCAGTGGTTAAGCACCCTTTGGTTGAATCCCCTCCCTCCCAAAAAAGAATTGGCAATATATAAACAGGCACAGATCTAAAGGGTGTAACCTACACCACTGAGGGGCATATGCCTCACACTTGGGCCATTTGAATGCCATCTTATTTCCACATCCGTCTACAGCCTGTATCTCCAAATACTTTGAACTTTTCCTTTACATTTTCTCTATGTCTACATACGTTCATTTTATAAGACTACTTTATCATATTTATCATATTCAAAAATCGTGAATTCAGTGGGTAAAAATGGAAGAGAGTTAAAAATCTAGATAACTATGAATTCTTACTTGACCTTTAATCATGTATCATCTGAAACTGCGTCACCTTCTACCATGAGTACGTGTTCATACTTTGGGTAAGACTGGCCTAGGGAAAATGTGTAAGAATAAAAGATTTGTGTGCTTAAACCACCAATGTTTATTGGTAAGTAGAAAAAAAATAGAGGATGTTTCTAAGTTTCTATATGTGCTCTGATACACTAAAAAGATAACTAGTCTCTTTATGTGCAATGCACATGTATGTACATGTACTTATACCCATATGCATATATTGTTTTAGTGCACTAACTCATATAAGTTGTTATCCACAGGGAGAAGCCAGTTCTAGGGTACCGATTCCTATGAGCCTATGATTATTTCAAAAGAGTGTGTGTGTGTGTGTGTGTGTGTGTGTGTGTGTGTCTGTGTGTGTCTGTGTGTGTCTGTGTGTGTGGTGTAGTACACATAAAAATGACAGGAATGTTAATAAGGGTTAGCTATATTTGGGTAATGGGGTAAGGGTTATATTTATATTCATTCTTTTAAAAACATTTTTCAACCTGGGCACAAAGGTGCATACCTGTAATTCCAGCTACTTGGGAGGCTGAGGCAGGAGGATCTCAGGTTGGAAGCCAGCCTCAACAATTCTGTGAGACCCCATCTAAAAATGAAAAAATAAAAAGGGCTGGAGATGTAGCTCTGCGGTAAAGCAACCTTGGGTTCAATCTGCAGCACAAAAATAAATAAATAAATAGAAGATGAAAATATTTTTCCCCTAAATGTTCTATATTATAGATGCATTGTTTTTTTAAGGAAATGTTATTTTTAGGCAGAAATATTAGGCACAATTTGACAAGAGATTGAAAAGTTTGGGGGGACTCTTTAAAGAAGAGAGGTGTGAATAAATCATGTATCATTCACTGTATCTTTGGCTAAAATAAATGGCATATCTCAGAGAGAAAAAAGGCTTCCTAGCTGGTGTCTTGGAAAGTCTTCAGAGGGCCTTTAATAAGCATGAAAATGAAGACTTAGCGGATCATCACCTTGATGTCACTGATGATCCCTCTGAGAATATCAAAGGAAAATATCAAAAGCAGTCATTAGGAAAGACCTTCCGCCTCCTGACCCTTAGAGCTGACTAAACCCAAGACTCAGTCATGCCTGCAGTGGACATGCCTAGGCTTAACTGTATGCTGTCCTCTGCTTGAGATGAGAGGTACCAAGAGCAGGGCCAAGGTTCAGGGGACTCCAGTGGACGGTTCATCTCAGGCAGTCTCAGGATCAACGGTGACAGTTCAATTTTATAGAGATATGTCAGAATGCCACCTTGACCCAACAGCCCAGCTCTGTGAGATTCCCTACACCTGTGTGTTACGGTTTGGATGTGAGGTGTCCCCCAAAAGCTCACGTGTGAGACGGTGCAGGAAGGTCCAGAGGAGACATGACTGGGTGGTGAGAGCCTTAACCCAACCAGTGAATGGATCCCTGATGGGATTAACTGGGTGGGGGCTGGAGGAGGTGGGTGTGGCTGGAGGAGGGGGCATTGGGGGCGTGGCTTTGGGGTCTCTATTTGTCTCTGGAGAGTGGAGTCTCTCTGCTTCCTGATCACCATGTGAGCTGCTTCCCTCCACCACACTCTTCCTCCATGATGTCCTGCCTCCCCTSGAGCCCCGAGGAGTGGAGCCTGCTGTCTATGGACCGAGACCTCTGAAACCCTGAGCCCCCAAATAAACTTCTCCTCCTCTACAGTTGTGCTGCTCAGGTCTTTTAGTCAGAGCAGGGAAAAAACTGATAAAGCAGGGTCCCAGCCCGCAGAGGGAGCACCCCATCATTCCCGAAGCGCTCCCTCCTCCTGGGAGGGTTTTGAGCAGCCAGCACACGGGCTGAAGTCAACGGGCACAGTTGGGTGGAAGAACCAAAGGACGTTTATGTTTCATTGATCCAGGGTTTGACACTGAGAAGCCTCTCCACTCACATGCTACTCAGAGAGTTTCCTTGGGTCTGTTTATGAGGACCACAAACTTGGATCTGATTTATGATCCAACTCAATGCCGAACAAGCTTCCCAGTACCTGCTTTCTTTCGGCATCGTTTTTCCTGTATTGCAGGATCGTCTTACAGTTCGGGTGAAGACATAACGGAGGCCTCCCATAAAAAAGTGAAAATGCAACCATATCTGTGTTCAAGAAAAGGGCAGGTCAGCGCAGCAGGTTTTAGAGCCAGAGTTCTAGGATCAGGTAGCCAAGTGCACACATCTTAGCTCCATACCCAAAGCTGCTTAGCTTGAGGCAAAGTTGCTTCGTTATCACCAAGTTCTGATGCAGCATCAGAAGAGGGCACAACAGTAGTACATATTCAGAAAGGTCCCTGCAAGGATCAAATGAGATAACCCACAAACTGATTTTTTGGAGGGGTGGGTACTGGGGATTGAACTCAGGGGCATTCAACCACTGAGCCACATCCTCAGCCCTATTTTGTATTTTATTTAGAGACAGGGTCTCACTGAGTGGCTTAGGGCCTCTCCATTGCTGAGGCTGGCTTTGAACTCGCAATCCTCCTGCCTCAGCCTCCCAAACTGCTGGGATGACAGGCATGAGCCACCATGCCCGGCCCAAGAAGAGATTTCACGCCATTCTTTGGTAATATGGGTGACAACCTGCATGTTATCTGTTGAAAACATTTTTCTGTGCTTATTATCTGTAAACCCAAGGTTTTCACAATGAATGAGATTTTTTCCTCCTTCCTTTTTCTTCTCACAGGGTCAGGAAACCAAGTCAAACTACCAAGACATCCTTTCTGAGCTGGAGGAGCACACAGAAAATAAGCTTGATTTCGAGGACTTCATGATCTTGCTCCTGAGCGTCACCGTCATGTCAGATCTACTACAAGATATTTGGAGTGCAAAAAATGACAAGTGACAGTTTCAAATATGAGGGTCGATAAAATAACGTCTGAGCACGGTGTCCAATGATCAAAGATTTTTTTTCCCTTCTTTTTGTAATTGGGTGATTATACTGATCCTGAATCTCAGATGGTTCTGATTATTGATATTCAGACTGGTATAACTCGTCAGAAATGTTTGGATCATCCTTTACTGGTGTGCCGTGCTTTACAACATGATACATGAATATCCAACTGCTTTTGCTAAGTCCACAGTGACATAGAGCATTTTCCTCATAGACACTGAGTCTTTCGTTCATTCATTCATTCATTCATTCATTCATTCATTCATTCTATGATGTCTGTTGAGCATTCACTCGGTGACGCTGCCAAGGATACAGAAGAATGACCAGACAGTCCCCTCCTTCCAGCATGCTGACAAGTATCCAGCAGGAAAGATGGATAATGAACACTTTTTCCAAACACAACATAGTTATCATTACAGTAAGGGATACAGGATGCTAAAAGAGTTTATTATCTGACCTGGGTTCAAAGGTCAAAGCTTTCCTGATATTCTATTTAAAAAAATAATAATAAAATAAAATAAATAAACAGTTGGATGCCAGGGACATGGTGGGAAATGAGATCATTCACAAACAGGCACAAGGGAATTTGTCAAGCTCTTAGCACTGCACCCTGATAAGGGTGATTATGAATTACCCCTAAGTAAGCCTGACTTTAAAATTAATACCCCCAATACCATCCCTGTCACCTGATCATGGTTTAACAAGGTGGTTTAACCAGCCTTATGATCTAAAAGTGGTCCTCTTCCAAAGACCCACTCCACCCCCATGACTGCCTCCTGCATTCCTGCATTTAAATCACACAGAGACACAGGGGCTGGGGTCGTGGCTCAGGGGTAGAGCACTTGCCTAGCACRTGCGAGGCTTTGGGTTTGATTCTGAGCACCACATACAAATAAGCAAATAAAAGTATTGTGTCCTTCTACAATAAAAATTACATATAATAAATTACACACAGAGAGACACATATCAATGCCTCAACTAACCAGACAGACCCTTTCAAAGGCTTTTATTCATGTAGGGATGTGCCTGGGGACCAACAGGTCTCAGAGGAGCAGTCTAGCAGCTGCTGACAGGCACATACAGGCCCCCAGAGATGGCACCAGGCAACAGCCAGAGTCACAAGCTTCACACACCTGGGCTTTCACACACGCCTTCTTGGTCCATCTTTACAAAGGACATTTTCAGCTGCAGGTGCTGAGGCTCACAGTGGGCCCATGAGGGTTCAGGTCACCCAGATAACCAACGCCACAGTCTAGATCCCAGCACAACGGGAGGGAAGACCAACTAAGTGTTCTGGTCCTTTGCGCCCATTTTATTCCAGTCACAAAGCTTCACATCGAGCCTGTCACCTCAGGTTTATCACACTTTTACTATAAGCTGGTGTTTAGAGACAGGCAGAGCTGGATGCCGTGGYGCATGCCTGTAATCTCAGCGGCTCTGGAGGCTGAGGCAGGAGGATCTCAAGTTCAAAGCCAGCCTCAGCAACTTAGTGAGGCCCTAAGCAATTTAGTGAGACCCTGTCYCTAAATAAAATACAAAAGAGGGGCTGGGGATGTGGCTCAGTGGGTAACCACCCTCCCACCCAAAAAAGAAAAAGAGAGGATGAGTCACAGTCTTTACCTTCCAGGAGTCGATAGCTGGTAGGACTCCATGCATGTAAAGATGGCAGCATGTGCTCTTCACCAAACCATCCCTTTTCTGCCAAACACTAGGGGGACGGCGCCTCTCTGCTTCCTCAGAGTGCAGAATGCCGAGGCTCTGGCCAGGGACATTTRACCTGGGTGGGTTCTTTAAGAGTCTGGGTCCAACCCTCTGCTCCGAGTCCCTGGGCCATGATCAGTGGCAACATGGCCCACCACGGCTGCCCCACTAGTCTGGGTGCTGGGGGAGGCTGGTCTAGAGCACAACCCCWGACCTATGCATAGACATGTCACTTCAGGAAAAAAGAGAATCTCCTTGTTTCAGGGGGAGACATACTTTGCTTCATTTAAAAATGATTGTAATTTCCCAGCTCTTTCTCTCAACTCTGATTTTTTCTCAGACCAACCCTGCAGGGCRCACACATATGCAAAACCCTTTCAAAGAGACAACAACTTTTAATAATTGGGGGTCTGGTGAGGTGTTATCACATGTAGCAGAGTTCCAAAACCACCCCAATTCAACTCGTTGACTCTCTCCTCTGCAAACCTCAAACCTGTGTCCAAGAGCTCAGACCAAGTAAARTTCCAGACTTTCCACTCTCGGGCCACTTTAGCAGGAGGCAGGTGTGTTTAATAGAAGCATTCAAACTCAATTATTTAATCAAAGAAGAAAAAAAGGATCCAGGCACAGCGGCACAAGTCTGTAATCCCAGTTGCTCAGGAGGCTGAGGCCAGAGGATGGAGAATTCAAGGCCAGCCTCAGCAACTTCACGAGGCCCTAAGCAACTCAGTGAGACCCTGTCTCTAAATGAGATACAAAAAACAAAAGGCTGGGRATGTGGCTCAATGGTGAAGCCACCCCTGGGTTCAATTCCCAGTACAAAAAGAAAAAAGAAAAAAAAGTTCCGGAAAATTCTTTATGGCCACCCTTCAAAGTCTTCCTGCCTTGAGCTGTTTGCCTGGCATCAAGTGGGAAGGAAAAGCAGAGGAAATTTTTCTTCTTTTTTCTTAAAAACACCAGAATGACACTCTGTACAGGTCACTTTTCTCCACACTTGACAAACCATAACTCACTTTACCCCGCAACAGGCTTGTGAGGTAGGTCTTCTCATCAGGGCCATCTTACAGATGAGGAAACTGAAGCGCAGAACTTTTGATATTTTTTTCCTCCAGCCACACAAGTAGCAGCTCTGAAAGTTTTCTGTCCTCCCCRAGGGCAATGCTGATTTGGTTTTAATATTAGATTTTATTGTGAGCAATAATATTATAACTTGACAAAAATAGCCGTGCACATTTCAGGCACTGTGCGAGTGACAGCAATACCAGCTGGGCCCCAGAGAACCATTTGGCATTCCTCAAATAGAACTCTGTGGGCTGTCCTCCCTCTCCAAGCCCTTTGTGTCTCAGTCACAAGTAGCCGAATATGGAAATCTCGGTGACCAATGAAAAGGTCGAATTCACAACTTTCAGAGAAGAGGAAAAAAAAAAAAAGAGAGAGAGAGAGACTGGCCAAGGGTGTGAGTCTTGGAGCATCTTGGAGCTATTCCAACCCCTCTGGACTACCCAGGAAGAATTTTCCAAGAAAAAAATAAAATCCATCCCAGATGGAAAGTCACGATCTTTGGGGGGAGATATCAATTATAGAATCTATTTTAGCAAAGAATGAAAGCAGCAAAAGTACATGTGGAAGCCTCAGTGACAGATAAACCAAGGAGCATGGTCTTAAGACACTAGATCCTGGAACTTCTAGGACCGAGTCATAGGACCATGAGCTCCACTCTGTTTTAAAAGGTGCCATTTTAAAAATGTTACTGATGGTCATGGGTGAGGCTGTGGAGGGACTCTGTCTCTGGATCCCTGGGTTACAAGGCACAAAATCCTCTCCCTTTGGTAACAGCCAAAAGTCCAATCTCTAAAGGCATCAGAGACAGAACATCTTGATCTACAAAGGATAGAATGGCCCAAATTATATGCAGGCTGACCTCTTGGGAAACCAGATCAGAGCTGGCCAAGAATTGGTTATCAGAGACAGTGCTTATACTTTGAAAACTTATTCTGTGGCTTAAAAAAAAAAAAAAATTCCTGGATCTTGCCACTAAAAAACAAAGTAAAAAATATTACAGACAGATCCACACCAATGCCTTTAAAGACTAAATTTTTGGCTGTTCCCTAATGAAAAAATAAATATAAGTAGTTGCTCTTTCGAGTTGCTATTTACCTACGACTAGCCCCTATGCTATCATGTCATTCTGTTGAAGATCTCCAGACTTGGCTTGGATCCCTGGAGGACCACATCCTGAGGCTGATTCTGTTTCTTTGCTTGAAAAAAAAAAGGGGGGGACTTATATTCAAAAGAAGTTAAAATGTCAGAATCCAAAATAAATAAATCCTCTCCAGTTATACACACACCAAAGGAGAAAGAGAACAGGTGTATTTATAAACAAGGTACAAGAGTATAAAATGGAAGACAAGGGCACAGAGTCCAGTGAATATCCAAAAAATATTGGAAATGACAATGGAAAGCAAAGCCAAGGTGTGTCAGTATCTCTAAAATGAATTGGTGTCTTAACATCTCTCTGCATGTGGTCATTATGCTGCACCACCCCCCACCTCTAGCTTCTCATCCGTTCTTTCTGCTTCTTCACACAAGAGCCAAGTAAAACATTTTGATTGGAGATCTTTTTTAATTAAATGTTCAACAAACTTTCAGGAGCATCTCAGCAGCCCCCATGCCAACCCTCAGGAGAGAGAATGCTATTGGCAAGAGTTGAAGTAGGGGGGCTGGGGATGTGGCTCAAGCGGTAGAGCACTCACCTGGCATGCATGGGACACTGGTTAGATCCTCAGCACCACATAAAAATAAAGATGTTGTGTCCACCGAAAACTGAAAAATAAATATTAAAAAATTCTCTCTCTCTCCCTCCCTCCCTCCCTCCCTCCCTCTCTTAAAAAAAAAAAAAAGAGTTCAAGGAGGGACAGCTACTGGCCCAGACACATGTGGTCAAGGTGACAACCACCTGCCCGCCCCTGGGAGCCAACTCCTCAGAGATAATGCAGGCAGGTTCTCAAAGGAGGAAAAGAGAACCCGGGGAGAAACTGACTGAGGAAATTGTAAAACTCTCCAGGAATAAATGCATCCCTTGGATGAAATGGGCCATGTTATTTGCTTCTCAGAGATGGGCCCGGCTACAGTGTCTCGGTGGGATGATTTTGTTATTCCAAGTGAAACTKTTTGTGCAGTGTCACTGTCACCGCATAAAAGATGCTAACCTGAGTCTTCCTGGGAAGTCTTCCTGTGATTAATTACAGCCA